CTTGGTCCGGCACTCGGCGGCCCCGCGCGGGTAGCCCCGGCGCCGCATCCCCTGGGCGATGCGCTCGAAGGTCTCCAGGTTGCGGTGGCTGGTGCGCAGCTCCTCCTGGACCTGGCGCTGGCCCCACAGCTGGAGCAGGGCCACCGTCTCCTGGTACTGCCACGAGCTGCCCCGGCCCTTCTTGGCCAGCAGCAGGCCCCCCCGCCGCGGCGCCGCCAGGGCCCCCACCGCCTCCCCGGTGCTGTNTTCTGCAAAACAAGAAAAGAGACCGAGAGAGAGAAAGGGGGGGGGGGAAGAGAGAAAACCACTCCCCTCTCCCCACTCTCCCTTCTCCCCCCGGATTCCTGCCCTTCCTGCCTCCCCTGCTCCGGAAAGCCGCGCTCCCGTGATGCGAATTTCCGGCCGGGAGATGAGCATCGCCGGGGAGGACCAGGGACGGCCTCCCTCTCCCTCTCCCTTCCCCCCCTCCCCGCCCCCTCGGGAAGGGAGGCAAAAGCCGGGAGAACCGGGGGTCCCCCCCTCTCCCCACCTCCCTCGCCCGGTGGGTTCGGCCCAGGAGGGAGGCGCTGACCCGGGAAACGGCGCTTCCGAAGAATCAGCCCCGAAAAAGGGATCGGGCCCAACGCGGGGGCGAGGGGGGGCGGGGGCTTTCGTGGAATCTGCTTTTCAAGCCTCCAGACTCGTTCGTGCAGGACCGTCTTGCTGGCAAAGGCGGGAGAGAGGAAGGCAGAGAGACAGACTCCCTCAAGGAAGCCACAAACTTTTCCAGTTTGCAAGAGCTGCGATGGGCCGGACGTTTTGGAGATGGGTCATTCACAGGGTCCCCGGGGGGAGGAGTCGGAGGCGACTCTAGAGGGCCCGGGCAGGGCCAACTGGAACAAGAGATGGTGCTGGAAGAGGAGACCCTCAGGGCAGGGGGAAAGCGAGAGGCGTCTGGGAGATCCCTCCTTCATAGGGTCGCCCTAAGTCACTCCCCATGCTTTGAACCCCTGTTGGGGCCCGCTCAGGGCTTCTCTTTTTTTGCTTTCTTCAAGATGGGCTGTTCAGCCACTTTAAATCTGTTTTCCATATTGTGGCTTGTGGCAGAGTTTTGATTTTTTTTTTTAGGTTAAATCCCCCCTAGCTGTGCAGCAGAAGCGTGGGGAGTCGCAGAGCAGAATAGAGGAGCCCACCCCTTTTTCTCGCCAAGTGGGCACTGACCCTCCCAATAACTCGTTCTGAGGCATGAGGAGGAGAAAGAATAACAACTACTTTCTTTATTTCCAGTTGGGAACAGATCAAACAGCAAACTGGCTAACCTGGCGGCTTTCAACAAAACTGACTTCAGCGGACCAAAGAGAGGGAAAGGGACACAGGGCCAAGAGAGGGAAAGGGACACAGAGCAGAGAGCCGGGGCTGCCTTTTAATTCAGAGGCTGGAAGGAATGATGGGTTACCGCTGGAGAGACTAAATAAATTGTCTGTTTATACTCATTCTAAAGTCCCTCCCAACCAAATAAGCTACAGGTAACACAGAAGGTTGTATAAACTCCAACAATTTATCAGCTACAGTGGGGTCTTCACTTGAGAACTTAATCCGTATTGGAAGGCGGTTCTCAAGTCAAAAAGTTCTCAGGTCAAATCTGCATTTCCCATAGGAATGCATTGAGAACCATTTGATCCGTATCTGCTCTTTTCCGTTCATAGAAACTAATGGGAAGCTGCTATTCCGCCTTCGACCACTAGAGGGGGATATTTTGTTTCTTTTTTTCTTAGGTCAAGAAAGGTTCAGGGAAGGCAGGGAAAATACAGTCCAGGCAGTACCAGGCAGTCCGAAGACTGTCTCCCAATCCACTCTCTAAACGCTGGGAGGAGTGAGGAAGCAGACAGGCACCCTTTTCACTGGCCAACAGTTAACTGAAAGTTCACATTTTGCACTTTCCCTGCCTCCCACGTGGTTTTTTTTCAGTTCTTAACTCAAATCTAAGTATGTAAGTCAAGTCAATATTTTCCTATGAGAGTGGTTCTTAAGTCAAAATGTTCTTAACTCGAGCCGTTCTTAAGTCAAGACCCCACTGTATACCACCCTGGTTCTCACCTCCCAAGCATACCACCGTTTAATACGGGAAATAGGTGGCCACGAGGGGCTAGCTAGTGCATGGCCACCTTTATACACTTGCCTCTCCAGAATTATAATTGAAAAATTATTCCCTCTGCACTTTTCACTAGTTCCCTCCAGATGGTCCACCCCTTTCTCATTTCCCAGCACTTACTGTCCCAGTAACTCACGTACTGAGTGAAAGAGCCCCTTGCACCCAGAACCTGGTTCACCTTGCACCCCGTGCCCTGTCCTTGCATGATCCCTCCAGGTTTGTTTTTTGCTCCACTACCTTATCTGGGAGAGGCAGGGAGACCCGTTGCTCCCACGGCTGACGTCCACAATTACAGGTTTGGCCCGATGGGGAGACACCCTGAGGGTTCGGGCGCGAGGAAGCACCTGGAGGGGTGGAATAGGGTGGGCCCGGTTCCATTCCTAGGAAGTGGGTTTCACGTAAAGGATAAACAAGGATCACGTTTCACGGCTGCTCATAGGAAAATGCACCTGGTTCTTCAGTTACAAAGACCGAGGGTTTCCTGCTTCTGTTTTCAATTCTGTGTTTTTGCAGAGTTGGGGGAAACCAGAGTCTCGGAGCTGTAAACAATAGCAGAACCTGGACAAGTTTCTTGGAAAGAAAAGGTAATTAACCTCAATTACTGTTGCACTGCTCAAAACATGCTCTGGCATTCTTGTCATTGCTCTGGTTTCGCCCCCCCCCTCCGCTTACACCCTGTCAGGGCCAAAGGCCACCCTCGATCCCCATTCTAGTTCCAGTTTGACCAGTTGACCAGCACAGTTACAAGTAACTTGTTTCCCGGGTCTGAAAGGTAAGTGATTTTTTTTTGTAGTTTGAGAAGAGGTATCTGTGTTTGTCTGTGCTGGTCTATCAGGGAAAAGGAAAAGGGGGGGGGAAACCCCAAAGAAGACAAAAATGATGTGGTGCCTTACAGACTGACCACAATATTCGAACGTCAATTTACTTCCTCAGACTTAAGTTATTTCTGCTTACTGATGTTTTTTTTCTTACTCTAGCATCAAACTGGTGAAAGCAGCTGATCTGTGGTCCCACACACCCTTAGGCAGTGCGACAGCGCCCATATCTACCGATTAACTAGTAGTTACTAGAAGTTACTACAAAGGCAGTTATGTTCCAATGGTAATATACATGTATTAGGATGGAATTACTCTGGAAAGGAGTGAGTTGCAGGTAGCTTGTTATTTGTTGAGAGTTAACTCCAAATTCTGAAAAAATTGGAGGCGATGAAATCCGCTCAAGGCTTTAAGGTATACTTTTATGGGGCTGAGCAGAACTTGCAGTGGAATAGCATTCTGTCTAGGCAGGTAGACTAGCACAGTTAAGTGTAGGATTCAGACAGACAGTCTCTTCTGTCACAGTCCTTGTGGCCATCACATCTGGCCAGATGTGGGAGCTTTTTTGTTTCTTCTCCCATCCTCCACATATTTTCCGCCTTCCAGATCTAACGTGACAAAGAGTCCTGGAAAGTCGAAAACCTTGCCCATTTTTGCAGAACATAAAATGGAGCCCAACTTGCCACAGGATTTTCATCCATTTTCTAAAAGCAGGAGCGATGCCATCCCTTGCAGGTCAACCACAGAGTCAGTTTCCTTATCTCTCTCGCACTTGTGTTGATAAATCGCGGGTAGGTGGGTGGAAATATTATGAAATTATGATTCAATGCACCCGTTGCAATCAGATTTAAGAGAGGGTTGGCAGCGGGGTTTTGGTGGCGCAAGACAGCTCAGCAAACCAAATGGCAGGTGCATTGATCACAAAGGAGGTTTCCCCCCACACACACACCCATGTCTTCCCCCTCCAGCCCTGCCCCCCCAACCGTCGAAAGCAAAATGTCCCAATGA